CGCCCCAGCCCTTGCTGGGCAGGCACTGAGCACCCGAGAGACGCAGCACTGGGCGGAGGGGACATGGGGACAGYACTGTCCCTTACCCAGGACRGGGATGATTTCGGCAGCCCTGCRCGACAGCCACATCTCACAGAGGAACAGCAAGGCTCAAATCCCCCCCTGCAGCTGCCGCTGGGCAGGAGAGTCCTGGGGGAGGGTTCCCCTGGGAGGGGACATCCCTGCTGCCCACCCTCCAGCCCCCGCAGGGCCCCCGGGGCATTCCTGGGGAGGGGGCCGGGAAACAGGTGTTTGTCAACAGCTCCTGCCACATGCATGAGAAACGCCAGGCCCGGCAGCGCAGCGGGGCTTAGCCATGGGCAAAAATAAAATAAAGAGAACCCCCCAGCAAAATCCTCCCCCCGGCTGTCCCAGCCCGGGACCCTTGGCCTGCACAGGCTGGCAATGCATGGAGAGCGGCCATGGGGCCGGCACTCGGCCCTGCTGCTGTGCTCCGGCCTCTTCCCAAGATGGCTCCCGCTCTCTTCAGCGGGGCGGCCATGCGAAGCCAGCTCTGGGCTCGCCACCTTCCCAGCGCCGGGAGCACAGGCTGGAGGGCTGGGCTGTGCCGGGGGGAAGCAGGAACCAGGGGACGGATGCAGCCACTCTGGGAGCGGTGGCACTGCGGGGAAAGGGATGCGGCCCTGCGGAAAGGGGATCTTGCTCCACTCCCAAGCTCGGTCCTGTGCTGAGAGTGGGTAATAATGGYCCCCAAGTGCAGGAGGATGAGGCTTCACCAACAGCACCGAGCCTGTCCCTCCACAGGCAGGACACCCACCCGTCCTCCCTACAAAATGGCCCCCACATGGGGCTCAGCTCTGAGAGGGAACGGCCCATGCCCCACTGCCAGCACCGCCCAGCCAGAGCACAGGGCTGGGTTTGGAGCAACAACAACAACAACAACAAAAATGCAATAAAAACCAAAACATGACTTCAAATGGGACGGTCCCRGTCGGGTGGGAGTGTCACTGCAACAGGCTGCCTGGCCTTCAAGATGGCACCCCATCCCCTGGGGCATGTGGCTCTGTCTGGCTCTGCAAGGAGATTCCTGGCCATGGGGGGGCATCCCCATCCCAACCATCCCCCAAACACTTCATGGGAACACGCCGGACCCAGAAACAACATCGACTCATTATGGCTTCAACCGCGGAGRAGCTTGCGGTAATGGCAACCACCAGCCCCGCCACAGCCCTTGGGTAGGGTCCCCCTTTGCCAGGGTTCTCCTCCGGGGGAGGCTGACACCCACCCTGCGGTCTGCCCCAGCTGGGAACGGGGATCCCGACCCCGGGGCCGCCCCAGCACCCTTCCCCCAGCGCGGCTCCCAGGCGGAGACGCTTAATCCCGACAAACCAGTTTGACTCAGCACAACAGGAACAGCTACAATTTTAAAAACATGCAAGTCTGTGATTCAGATTGCTGGGGCTGTTTTAATTAAACGCCAAGCTCCCCTGCTCCAGCGGCAGCAGCAAACGGCTCACGGAAAGAAAATGCAACAAACTGGTTTTCCCAAATATCTCTTGCAGTAAGTCATCATAACAAAACAAGGAGTTTCGGTTCATTYCTTAAAAACCAGAGGCCGCTATTCCCAATCGCAAGGGCTGGGCAGGCATGGCCAGGCAGCCACAGTCTCGCTGTATACTGAGGGAGAAACGTGGGGCTGCAAATGGACCCCGGTGCTCCAAGTTTYCCCTCTCCCCGGCTCTCCGCATGCTCCACTTGACACAAAGGAAAGCCCTTCTCCTCCCCTCCTCGGGAACACAGACAGGAAGGCTTCCTCGAGTGCAGCTTTTAGMGAGGAATGGGAGATTTAATGAATCCAGCGAGTGTTGTGGAGCCCCACGATCTGCTTTCCCTCACAGCCCTGCCCCAAGCATCCATAAAACAGCAGGGCCAACTTCCCCCATCGCCCCGCCAAGAAACATGCCATTTCTGTRAAAAGTAATTAAACAGAAAGCAAATCTCTGTGCCAAGAAAATACCTGGCAGTTCCAGAACAGGGGTCAATGAAGCACGGGTTTGTCGGTGCACAGAGGAGCATGGTCAGTCTGTGTAACACCCAGCTGGGRTCTGGAGGTGCCACTGGGCAGAGTCCAGATGAAGAAAATCCCCCCTAGAATTCTTGCTGCATTGAGGGGTTTGGCTATTTCACTAGAGCCCGAGTCTGCTTAGGACTACATGCAGCAAACTACCRTGCTTCTGCATGGGAGCTTGTGGGGAAACACGTGGGAAACCCCAAGTTTAAATGGAGTCCTGAATCCAAAAGGCTGCTCAGGGCAGGAAGGGGCTGGGAGAGTGGCTCCTAGGGAGAGCAGGTCCCTGTCCCAGTCCATCCGCACCCCCAGGATGACAGGCAGATCCAGTCTGTGGCTGTCCATGCTCCCTTGGGCCAGGGTGTTTTGAAGCCTGGGGTTTTACCCCTGGATGGTTGGCAAGAGCCTGGAACGCAGCACATTCCCCACGCTGTTCCACCGTGTCTGCTCCCCACAGGGCCTCTGCTCCCACAGCCCCACTGGGACAAACTCCTCAGCCCAAACCCCTGCGCTGGAGAAAGGATCCGCTGTTGCCCCCGGATAGAGCATTCCTTCTGCAGCCGGCCCGGGGACTGCTGAACCGGAGAAGAAAAACACATTGTAACTTCAAACAGACCCAGCGCACTTACAGGATCTGGAGAGAAACCATTTTCTCCTCGGCAGCACAAAGCCCTCACTGAGCTGCTGCCGAGCGCGGCTTTTCTCCTCCACCCCCGTGGGGCCTTGTAAAGAAACCCAACTCCCCGCCATCCCCTCGGGAATGGGGAGCGCCATCCAGCCCCAAAGCCCCCTGCCCTTCCAGCCCAGCACCAGCCGCAAGCCCAGTCCATTGCACCTCGGAGGGGAYGGTGAAGTGGCCGGGTCTGGGGACTGCTCGCTGCCGTTGTGTGCAGGACGTGCGTACAGATTTATGGCCACGCCAGATTTATGATCAGCACTAAAATATCCAAACAAACGTGCACATGAGATTTACAGTAACCGCTGGAACGCGCCGGTCCCCGTCAGGAAGCAGCGTTGAGCGCGGACAGAAATGTCCAACGCAGCAGAAGAGCGGGAGCTGACTCCGATGCGAGCAGCGGCTTTCCCAAGCTGGTCAAGGCAGATACCTCTCTGGGCCAACTGCAACTTTCCCTCCAGCTCAAACAAGAGCAAAGGCAAAGGAGAAAAAATAATCCCAGGGGAATCGGGGCCAGCTCAAAAACCGCTGGGCAGCTGCCAGCCAGCCCCAAAGTGGTCCCACCGGGCTGGCACCCAGCTGGGCCCTGACCTCTCAGACGGCATGTTCGGCCTGTGACCCCTCCACACATTCGGGAAGCTGAAAAAAAMCAGTGACTCCTCAGCAGGGGCTGTTTATTTTCTCTCCATCTGACTCTTCACACTGCTCCATCCCCGGGCGGCACTGGGGAGAGGCTGGAACTCCCTGCCTTCCCAGGGATTGAAGGTATCAGCCCCAGGTGATGCACAGCCCGCACGCCAGCTATCCCGATTCCCAAACCACTGATGGGAAGCAGGTTGCGAGGGGCTACCCGCAAGCGTGGGGCCCCGCCGGGCTCCCTGCCCACAACTTCATCCTCCGGCACCTCTCCAGAAGGCAGGGATCCCCGGGCGGGTGCTCGGGAGCCTCCATCCCAGGAGGGCTGAGTGCCGGCGGCTTCTCCCTTCCCCACCCTGCCGCGGGGTTCCCGCTCGCGTACAGATTTTGCGTCCGGGAGCTCACGGACCTGGCAGGCCCACAGCTCTGACTGCTACAGCGTACAAAGGACGAAGGGTTTTTATTTTCTTTTCCCTTTTAAAGAAAAAGAAACAGCACGGAGGGAAGATGAAAAGGAACGCAGACAAGCACGTCCCAAACTTTCTACAAAGCCCAAAGCCGGAGGAAAGATGTCCCCCAACCACCGCAGCGGGGGAGGGCTCCTGCCCACGGCCACCCCCGGCGCCGCGGCCCGAACCTCGCAACGCGGGGCGACGGCAGCGGGAGCCCGAGTACGACACCGCCTCCGAGCAACCCCGCCGCCCCCCGCCCGGGCGGGGGCACCCACAGCTCCGCTCCGACCGGAGGATCTCCCTTCCCTTCCGTTCCTCCCTCCCCAGCCCACTCCCGCCGCTCCGGCAGCRGGTTCGGTTACCGGACACCGGAACGCCGCGGCCCCTGGCACTCCGGCCGGAGCTCCGCACACTTTGTGCGGAGACAAAAACCCGTCCGGGCCCTCTTCTCCTCTGCAGTGCGACCCGCCTTGCCCGCCCGGGAACTCCCGGTACCCCAGCGGGGCCAAAAGCTTCCTTCCTCGCTCAAAACTGGGGGTGCAATGGCGCTGCCCCGTGGACCGGGCACTCTCCAAGAGGGAGACAATTACTCCCCGTTCTACTCCCAACTCCATCGGAGCTCGAGGGTGGGCGAGCCGCGGCGCGCAGACCCGATCGGGGTCGGCACGCGTGGCCACTCGCCACTCGCCCCGGAGGTCCCACGCTGGAGCCTCGGGGGTTAAGGTAGCAGCGCTGCGAGCCCTGCCGGGGAAGGGATGGAGCCGGACACGGCACACGGACACTCCTTCCGCGGCCCCACCAGTTCTGGCACGTCGCGAGCTTCCACTGAAAGAAATATTAATTTTCCAGCCCTCTCGGTCGTGGCGAAAAGCCTCGAAACGTGAACCGAGTATCCAAAGAGGCGCCGTTCCCTGCCAGCAGCCGCCGGCCGCGGATGCCGCGGCTCTGCCGCGCCGGGCTCGGTTCCACGGGGCGTTGACTCTGAAACCTACTGAGGGCGGCTGAGCGCTGAGAGCGGGGCTGCTGCGGCGAGCTCTCCGCGGGGACAACCGGGCATCCGCGCMGCGACGACAAGTCGAGCTGAGCCACGACGGGCCGGGGACACCCCAAAGGATGCGTGCAGCCCGGGCCCCGGTGCGGCGGACGGGCACGCCCGCCCGGTACTCACCCTCCAGAGCGCGGCGGCCGCCGGGGAGCAGCAGGAGCAGCAAGAGGGGGAGCAGCGGCGGCGGCGGCGGGGGGGCCCCCGGGCGGGCCGCGGCCATGGCGGGGGCGGTGCGGGCGGCCCCGCCGGGCAGTCCCGAGCTCGGCGCCACGCGCGGCTCCTCTCGCCGCCGCGCCACGCTCGCGCTCTGGCGGCGCCGCCGCCGCCGCCGCTGCTGAGCCGAGCGGGGCGGGGCCCGCCCGCCAATCACCCCGCCCCTGGCAACCCGGCGCCCCTGGCGACGGCGAGCGCGGCGCCGATTGGGCGGTGCCGGGGCGGGGGCGGAGCCTCAGCGGAAAGATGAATTGGAGGGGGCGGGCACTGGCCGGCGCGCCCCCCGTGGCCCCGCCCCCTGGCGCGGGAGGTGCAGGGCGGGGAGCGCGCCCCACCCAGCGGCCGCCCGCGGAACTGGGCCCTTAAAGGGGCCGCGCTCCCGGCCTGCCCCCAGACCCCCGGTACGCGCTGCGCTCTCCCCCGCCCCACCGGGTGCGCCTGAGTGCGTGAACCTGGTGGAGTGTGTGATGACGGGACTGTCTGGCAGCCTGATTTACCTGTACCATCCCATTCTCCACAGTCCCGTCCCATCTCTCATGCATCCCACCCTTTGCCAACCAATCTCACCCCATCCTCCCCCAGCCCAACCCATACATCCCATTCTATCTCACCTATCCCATCTCAATGTATCACAACCCTCCCCACTCATCCCATCCCCAATGCACCGTGATTCTCACCACAGTTATASGGAKGAATGCTGTGATGCTGGCCAAGTTYAAACTATTGACCMCTCCTAGGACTCCTACCCCCACCCACAATGTGTCTTCCCCATCACATTCTTTGTGGGAGAAGGTGCTGGTTATCGTACATGCAGCCAGTTTCCAAGCCTTGGATGCCTCAGTCTTCTTTCCCTCGATCCTGGCTTTGCCATTGGAAAGTTTTGGGACCCTGTGTGGGACAGGCTCTGGTTCCTTGGGATGATGTATTCACACACACTGTCCCAGTGGTTGGACATGGCACTTCCACGTCCTTCAGGACAGACACATACCCGCCATGACAGGTGTGGGACACAGGCTGCAACCTGTCCTGGCTCTCTGCACTGCATCTGCCCCWCAGATGCCTGGGGAGGCTTCTCTTGGGCTTAGCAAAATCCCCCAAATMGATGGTATTGGGGAATGCTGATGGCCCTGGTCCCTGGGGGTGGCTGAAACACCAGCAGATCCAGGGGCAGTGGGGTGCATGGCTGGTTGCATCACCCTGGGGAACCTTGTCCCCCTGGCAGAGCCATCTGGGCTGTCCCCACAGACACCTGTCATCTGCAAGTGGCACCTCCCCACAGCGCTCCTGCCCCAGAAACCTGCCCCAGAAACTCCCTTGCCATGCAGCCCCAGCCCTGGCCCTGCACTAGTGGTTGACCTCTCCTCTGTGAGGATATATACAGAGCGTATCTATATTCCCTCTGCCTTCTGCTACACACACCCATCAGRGCTGTGGATGGGCATTTTCCTTCCATCTCTTGGAAAAAATTGGCTTCTCAAGTCCTGGCGAAAGAGGTTGGCACAGACCTGAGCTCTGCCTGGGCAGCTGACAATTTGGAGATGAGAGATTCCTACTGCAAGAATGCTGGCATCCTCCAGGATCTGCAGGGAGTGTTGCCAGMATGCTGTACCCCAAGGACTGCCACAGGGCTCTAGCACCACTGGGCACAGTTCCCGAAGGAAAAGCCAAGCCCAAGAGAGCCAGTGTGCTAATTTAAGACAGGACATATGACACGTGACTGGGATAAATCTCTGTGAGGGACAGCAAGTGGAGCATTGCACTCTCCAGGTAAAAGAAAGTGGCTGGGGAGCAAAGCAGCAGTTAAGGGGATTGCTTTCGTGGAAAATACCAAAGTTTGAGCTAAGAAGCAGAAGTTGTTGGCTTGGACAAGCTGTCACTCMAGGAGATGAGCAGCAGAGAAGTGAGTGACGAAGCTGGCATTGTTAACACATGCACCGGGGTACAACGCAGCATCAGTGGGGAAGGAGAGGGCTGGGGGCTGATGGAGAGGCTGAGAATCTTAGCCAAGGTCTAGGCTCAGGGTGGGAAGATTTTTTGTCTCCCCGTGAAGTCACTCCCGGGAAATCCCCTCCCTGCCGGCTTAGCAAGATGCAGAAACCTCGTTTATTCTGCAATTCCAGAGGTCTGAGTTACCCAAGCACAAAATTTCTGAACGGAGCACATGGGGAAATTGCTTATTCACACTTGAATAACTCAAAAATGGCTGAACCAATTTTACTTAAACTTTCTCCAAGAATTCCCCTTGGAGCCAAGCCATGCCTGGCAAATTTCAGCCCGAAAGGAATTTATTTCAGAATAGGATGAGAAATTGGAGCAGGCAGCGGGGGTGCGCGGAATGGGGGAGGATGCTCTATACAATCGCGTCGCTCCCCACGTGCTGTAATTAAWGAGCCCCCACTCGCTCCCACTGGGCTGGTGCTGCTCGCCGGTCTCTCCCCGGGGCCTCATTCTCCCCGGTGCCGGCGGGCGCAGCGCCGCGGTCTCAGCCGGGGGGCTGAGGATTTCGGGGCAGCTCGCTGGCCAGGGAGCCCCGGTGGCCGCCTGTGTGYTGCAGCTGGTGGGCAGCCTGGGGAGCAGCGCTGGCAAGGCTCCGACGCCTGCACAATACCAAATAACTGTGGTAACTGCGTGGTGTTTGCTGGCAGGGGCTGGCTCTTCAGTGCCAACGCGCCTGCTTGGGCATGGGCTCGGTGCTGGGGATGGCGCTGCTGTGGCCCCCGAGGGACRGGGTGACGGCGTGGCTGGGGGACGTGCACGTCTGTATAAATACAGACAGCTCCCAGCCACACAATACACATTCATCCAGCCCTGATCCCCTCCTGGATCCATGGGGTGATGGCAGGAGCTGAATAAGGCTGCAACGGGCACTGTGTTGGCCAGATGTGGAYAGGGATGGGCTGAGAGATGAAACGTGGGGCTGTGGGATAGGCAGGGGAGSTTGTCTGCAGCACTGACCTGAGATAGTGATGCTCTGCCTTAGAACAGCCTCCAGCCTGCACAGCAAAGCTGCGGTGCCCACGGTGCCCCTGGGAGGCATTCCTGTGCAGACAGGGAGTGGCAGAGATGAAAAGAAAACCTCGAAAAGCAGCAACGGCCATGGAAGGTTCAGAGGACAAACAACCCAGCCCAACCCTCTCTCCATAAGAAATCTCTCATGCAGAGACTCCATCGCTGGAGAAAGCTTGACTTGCACTGGACATTTCCAAAGACGGCCCTGATGTGCTCTGGTGATGGGTCCATGTCAACCATGGGTGCACCCACACACCCTGCCCGCTGTGCCAGCCACCACCCCCCACCTCCTTTGCATGYGGCAACCTCAGCTGCAATTTCATAAGGAAAGGTGAATAGGGAACAATTATTCCTACTTTCTCAGAAGATCTAAGAGGCATCAAATGAAATTACCCAGCAAGAGTCTAAAAACAAACAGAAGGGAGTATACTCCTCACCGGGCAGCCAGTCCCAGGAGCACATGGCCACAAGGTAGGTACGGGGACATGTGTTTGAAGGGTGGAACTGCATGAATGCAAGAAAAAGCCCTGCAAGAGGCCTCCATTGTCTGCTCACCTGGAGCACAGCTGTGCTGCGGATGCAGAAAGCTGGGTGGGGATTCCCCCATGTTTCTGGGCTGGACACCATTGCAGTGGGGCCACCATGGCATCAAGTGACATCTCCAAGTCCTCTGTCCAGCGGGCTGCACTCAGAGGGACAACATCTGAGCAGGCACCTGGGTCAGCCGTGTGGCTGCTGGGGGGTCCCTGTGCCATCCTCAGTGCAAGGGGAGCCCTGTGGGGCCCCATTCCCAGGGCAGGGAGCACTGCCGGGAGCCAGCTYGCCCAGCCGGTGTGTTCCTCGCCAGACCAGTGCCGGCTCCAGCCTGTCTCCTTCCCAGGCTCCCTGGGTGCTTGCCCCTCCAGGAGCTCCTCCCTGTGCTGCCAGGAGTTTGGTGCTGCCAGCGGGTCGGGGCGGCCGGCAGCACCCGTGCCAGCCCGGCTGGGGCCCAGCAAGGAAGCCACCTCCTGCTGCTCATGGTCCCCACTTCAAAACCTTCTCCTGTCCCACCCACATCCACCACCCCTCACCTCTGGCAGCTTCAGGATGCAGTTAAACACTTCAGCACTTAAAATTTCAGGTGCTAATTGCTTAGTAATGAAAACTTTAATCACAGGGCAATTAAAACCTTAAGTAGCTGTGGGAGATCCATTCCACGTCAACACAAAAAGAGTGCCGTCACTACTCAGGCACTGCCCTGGCACAGCGAGGCACGGCAGGACCGGGAGAGCTCATCCTGCAGCCCCYACTGCCCCCTGCTATGGGGATTTGGGGAGCCCCCTCCTTTCCATGCCGAGCGGGAGGTGGCCGAGGAATGATCAGCTACTGCCATAAAACTTAAAACCCAGCTAATTTCGGATTAAGTGCCATATGAAAGGGTTTTGTTATTTTAAATCTCCTACTTTCCAAATTCCCAGGATTAAAATTCTCTGCATTTATTTTAACCACATAACATTTGCAGACAAATCACTTCTCCCAGTGCAAAGTTTGAAGCAGGCTTAGCAGATCTAAAGCCCAGCCACAAGCTCCAGGGTGGAATCGCTGGAAGCGGCTGCCAGCGGCCGCCAGCCCCTTTTGCTGGCGTGTGCTTGCAGCAGAGCTCAGCCACTATTTCTGCAGGGGGAAAGGACCTACCAGCTGCTGTAGCCCTGGGAGGCAGCATGAGAAGGAAGGGTGGCTGTAATCCTGGCTTCTGGGCTCATTCCTGCGCTGGGGATGTGCCCTTGGGAAAATCTGATGAGGCTTGTGTGTTTGGAGAGCAGGCCCTGTCCCTGCTGCAGGGTGCGTGTCGCAACCATGCTGATGCTATCCAGGTGACACTGTCCATTTCTGCATCAGGTGCTGACAAATGCCACACAAAAAATAAATAAAAATCAGGATTTGTGCCTTTTCCCCCCGCTCTGCAGTCCACTGGCRGGGCTGAAAGGGAAGGGAAGGCATCCAGCCTCGCGTGGCTCCAGCTCTGTGGGAGGCAAAGCCT